TCATTATTTTACAACTTTAAAAAATTCAGCACACTCTGCAAGAATTAGAACAGCTTGTTGAAGCAAATGCTACAGTTCTCTTGCCAACATTTATCTTCAGAAAAATAAATGGTGTGTTTGCAGTGCAAATTTTCCAGACCTTTTTGAGGGGAAGGGGAACACTCTGCTAATGGCAACTCTAGCAATAACAGTTTAGGAGAGTTACCATTTTGTCATGGTTCCACCGCCACTCAAGTAGAGGCATTCTGTTTCTGGTATGCATGCATATCAATACATGGATATGGCCATTAAGAGTTGTAACTCTATGCAACTTCACTTGTGCTCAGTGGAGCTTACTGCCTTACCAATGTGCTAAGAATTGCACCATGCAGGGCTCAGTCTTCCAGTTGGGCACCTTGTTGAGAAATATTTTGCATCTTATTTGCATTTTATCAGTCATATTTCTCTAATACTTCGAACCAAAAGAACTCACACTGCATTGGCATTTCAATGCAAGGATGTTGGAATGCACATTAAGTCTGTCTTTCCTGGAAATGTTGGAAGGTAGGGCTGTCCATAAAAATAAGTTCTTAGTTGTTCTAGGACTAGTCCAGACTGTCGTGGAATTTCTTAAACAGACATCTATTCATAACTTGCAGCTTAGCCACCTTAGTCTGTTGCAGCAACAAAAACTAAAGTCTTGTTTATTATGGTAAGTACTTTGCTGGATACATGCAATCTGATGAAGTCCAGGAAGGTATATGCCATAATAAATTGGCTAGTCCTTAGTGGCACAAGACTCTTTGATGTGTGGAGTCGCATGGACATGTGATTCTCTCTCATTTTGCCATGCAATAGTCGATATGATACATGCACCCACTTATCTTCTTCCAGGGCTTCCACTAAGTAACTATTTGTTACTGTTACCCTTTCTTACTGATTTTTCCCCAATCCCTATTTTAGGAAACGTTTTAACACTCCAAAAGCCATTCTCGGTAGTGGAACTGTCATCTTTCCTTAGCATTACAACTGCATTCTTCTATATACTTACTTGGAAGTAAGTATCATTGAACTCCAGCTGAACCTATTTCAAGGTAAACATAAGCGGGTCTGGCCGCAGGACCCATAGATTTCAATGCAACGTGCCGAGCGATCCTGTGCCTCCAAGACAGACGCAGGGAATTTAATCCTGGGACCTCGTTGCTACGGAGAGCGAGTTCCCTGTCCCCCGTGCGTGCTATTAAGTGCCGTGAAATACTCCGGAGGAGATGAAAGGGAGGGAGGGAGCCGGGCAGGGGGAGGGGCGAAAGCAGAAGTAGACGCGGCTCGGATAAGGAAGGCAGCTCGACCTCCAGTATTGAAATAACCTATAGGAAATTTACGGTTGAAGACGTCAAAGGAATTTCATGATTTAGGGCTTCTGCTCTGCATAACCATATGACTTTCTTTTTTAGCAGGCAAACTTGTACTCGGGACTGCCCCCACGGCACCAAAGTTAACGTAGACCACTTTGTCTTAAAAGAAAAATAAAATCGCGAAACGGGAGATTTACACTCCCCGCCCCACGAAAAACAACAAAAAGGAGAATAAATAGGCCCCTTTAGCTAGGCTGGAGAGGCTTCGCTGTTTGTTCAGACTGCCTGTCGCCATCTCTAAAACAACAGCGGACAACGCTGCAATTTCATACAAGCATATTCAGGGCAAACCGGGAGGCGGGGAGGAAGGATTAGGGTTAGCAGGGGAGGAAGGAGAAAATATATCTTGAAGCCGGAGAACCTGTCACGGCACAGAAGTCCACAAGTTTGGCCTCATATGACATGAGGACGAAACATCAAGAGATTTCTATCCACGACTAAAACTGAACGAATGCATTCCTACGTGTATCCTATGGAGTTCAATGGAACTCAGTGATAGTAAAGAATCATAGGAGTGCAGCCTTAAGCCGAGTAACCCTGGGCGCACCTCATTCGGGTGTAAATTTCTCAACAAATCTAAGAAAATATGCTTAAAATCGGAGGTGTAGGCTAGCACGTAGGCAGATGGAACAGTAAAGGGTGTAGAAAACCCATAAACACAAATTGAAAACCCACCAGCAATTTAGGGCTCAATCTACAAGTCCTACAATTCCCAGCACTCCCTTGCAAGCCACGCTGGCTAGGGAATGCTGGGAGTTGTGGGATTTTTTTTTCCTGTTGGAACATGCATAGGATGTTTCCTTATTTCTTAAAGAAATTGAATGAGCAGGTCCAAGCTTTGTGACTTAAGACTGCAATCCAGCCTTTTACTCGGGTGTAAGCTCTGCTACACCAATTTGAGTATATCAAGCATTGCGTTGCTCGTGTTCATTGCAGGATTTGCAAACACTATTGAGACTGGAAGAATATATTTCTGATTATGGCGATTCAGGTTGCCTGTCGCCTCCTCGGGCTCATACTTTTCGAGCGAGATCCTTTGCAGGCGAATACAAATTTGCAAACTATAGCAGGGCAGTGCAGTGCGGGGAAAAGAGCTCTTAAGAGTACGGTGCTATGCATCTCCAGTCAGACGTTAGTTCTACTGAGTTCAGCGAGACTTACTCCCAGCTTAAGTCTGTATGGAGCTGCAGCCTGAATGTATCCGAGATCAGGCAAGGAGTGTTCCCGGGACAGCGTAGTCTCCGTCCCTTTGTTTTCCTCCTCCTGCACGCACATTCTGCCTCTACGCTCCCACCCGCTCTATTTCCTCTTCCCTAGCAATTTCTATTTTCTAGTTTCTTCCACCGTACTCCCGCCTCCTGGAGAACAATCGTTGCTGAGCGAGGTGCACTGTAATGCTAGGCTTGCAAACTGGCCTCTTATTTAGGAAGTCATTAATCACATCCCCTCCCCCGGAACGAGATGGCGGAGGAACCTGTGAAGCGCAACCCCCCACCCCTCTCTTCCCTCAACTGCTTTGAGACGCTGGGCTGCCACACTTTCTGAACCGAATTAAGGTGCCACCGCGTTTCCGGTAGGCGTTTCATAATTGAATAGGTGCTGAAATCCAAAAAGGCATCTCGCCGTTATACTACGCCTCATACCACATCGGTATGTTTTAGTTGGAAGTACGTGTAATTTATATTTTGATGTCCGTTTAAATTGAAAGCACTTTGTCATGGCTGTAAAAGGGGAGCTTTTTCGTTCATTCAGAGTGCAGCTTTCTAGCTATATCAAAATTAAGTGTGGTGTTCATAGAAAACACCCTCGATGTTATTTCGGTTTGATCCGATCTTTGTGTACTGATTAGTTGCACTCAGCCACCTCCAATTTAACGTACGGCAATGCATGCCCTATCTCTATCCCAGCTTGGATAACGCAGCGCCAGGATCTCGTAGTTACCGCTTCCCTACTCCTGCAACACCCCCTTTTTGCTTTTGATGGCATTTTCCTCTGAGCAAGGCTGCACTCTTATGCAGGCAGCAAATCTCTTAAATCCAGGCAGCAAATCTCTTACAGCACGACCCTAGGACTAGTTTCGCCAAAGTAAGGCTCAAGGCTTTACTCCAAGGTAATTTATAAGGAGGAATCAGGTACAATGTCCCCTCTCTCCAGTCATCCAGCGGGATAGCATCCCCGCGCCAAGATCCTAGTCACCCTTACCTTGAAAGCATCCTAATTAAACATATGAAACAAACAATTTCAATGTGTTTAGGATTGCTTCTTTCTTTATCCCATTCCAATTTAGATCATTCCATTTACTAGTTAGCAGAGGGAGCTGCTGCAGAGTCGGGATCCTTAGGCGAAGTTGCGGTGTGTCTTTGTCTCCAGATGGTACTCCGTCAAGAAAATGCGCGCAACGGACGGCAATTATTTGCGTGTGCACGTGGGTCATGATTTGCCTTTGCTACGTAGACGGCGCGGTTGTTGCATGTGCAAATCTCACGCACTGTGTTCCGACAAAGGCATTCCCCACCCTTTCAAACGTCATCCGGATCTACGTAGAGAAACGTGCCAACTCGCGGAAAGGCGAGCGTGTTTTGAAATTTCGTTTGTTCATTCATAAATTATTCCGGCGTGTCAAACCCCTTGAAGTGCCGATTGGCTACTTCTTCCTCTCGCCAAACCCCCTCCGAGGAGCCGAGGTGAAATTAGTAGCAAGAAGGCATGTAATTGACCGAGTCACGTGTGTGCAGGGGCCCAGAAACGGAGCGAGAGGCAAGGTGGGGGGAGGGAGCCGAAGAGGGATAGCCCATTAGACTGTGCGGACGAAACTGGGGCTCGTTGCAAATCAAGATGTTAAGCTGATTCCAAAGAGAGCTTCTGGCCAGCAAGGGGGAACTTTCCGTCTCGCCACTTTGGAACTGAGGGCCAGTAGGGTAACATGGCCGAAGGTTATTTTCCACCCACTCCTATTGTTATTCCTGGGTCTCGTGTGTGCGCGTGGTTTAACTCTTCTCCCTTTCTCCGCACGGCCCTCCTCTCTTTTTTATTTTAAGCCACACTTTAAAAAATACGTGATCCCGCGTTTTAAAAGACCCAGCCACCAGCACCGCCACCGCCACAACAAAGCAGCCAAAAAGGGCTTCTGTGACGGGGCGCGGGGAGTGCTCCGAACCGCCCACTCCGCAGCGCCAACTTGAAAAGCTTTCAGCGGGGGCTTTTGTTCGGATTGTCCGTGTGCGATTGAGTAAGCAGTTGCGGGGGAAGGGCGTGAAGAAACTTTTGTACACCTGCCCCCTCCCTCGGCTCGCCCGCAGATTAAAGTGATTCCGGAGTGGAGGAAGGGGAGGGGGCGTTTGCGGAAAAAAGGAGGATGAGCGCAACTGGAACATAGCACGGGGCGCTGCTGCTGCCGCTGCCGCTGCTGGATGGGCCGTGCCAAGTCGTTGTGCAATCGCCGCCTCGCTCGGCTCGGCTCGGCCGCCCCCTCCTGCCCGCCTCTCTCTCTCTCTCCCCCCCCCGCCTCCCTCCCTCCCTCCCTTCCCCGCCTGGCCAGCCAAGACTCATTCGCCTGCGAATTCCTCTGGGGAGGGATGGGATCGGTGCTCAACCAACAGTACCCAAGTAAAGTATCGCTTTCTGGGGTGGTTTATGTGGCTGAAAGATGGAGTTAAAGGGCAGAATCGCACGTATGTACAGGACAACGTGGGCTGGGCCGCTGTGTGTTTGTGGTGTGCGTAAAAAGGGGGGGAAGCAGTCTGAGTGAGTCACGGCAGATCCTGCCTTTTCCTCGACGATGCCCGTCAGCGTTGCCTTTTTTAAACAGGAAAAAATAATTTTATTTCTCCCAGCGAGATCTTGGTGTGTTTAAATGTTTTTGCGGGTAGGAAATGGGGGAGGCCGGGAAGGTTGATTTCGTAATGTTGGTACGTGCGTGCATGTGTTTTCTGTCCTCTGTAGCAATCGTTCTTGTACAACCGCCAAGGAGATGTTACTAGAATTTAATTCTCTGCCTTTGTGTGTGTGCGTGTGCGTGTACGTGTACGTACGTTCTTGTTTTTTCCGCCATCCCTCTCCAAATCAGCGGGGGCGCGTAAAGGTGGAGATGAGCCCGGGAAATTGCCGGAACAAGAAGAGGAGGAGGAGGAGGAGGAATCCCAGGTTTTGCACGGAACAGGCCATTGCAAGTGGTTTAATGTGCGAATGGGGTTCGGATTTATTTCCATGATTAACCGCGAGGGAAGCCCCTTGGAATCTCCGGTTGATGTCTTTGTACACCAAGTAAGCACATTTTTGTTGTTTTAAGTTCCTCTCTCACCTCTTTCTCTGACGCCACATTTCTCAGCTTGCTTTAACGATGGCTTAATTTTATGTGAACTATAAAATAACAATCCTCATATCTACGTATTTGCATAGATATTTGTGGCCCTTCTGTTTGAAACCAGTCTCAGATAGCAGTTTCTGTTGACTGAATTATCGCTGAGTTCATTGGACTTATTTAAAAGGGGGGGAGTACCCTCTCAACAGGTTCTTAGTACAGCTGCTTGCTTGCTTTCTTGCTTACTTTCTTCCGTGTGAGTTAAACTTTAGTTGTTTTTCATTAGTTCATCATCTGGTAAAGTGAAAGTGGAAAACATCCAGACACTTAGGTGACACTGAGTTCTGTGCATATATACCTGGGAATAAATTCCATTAAACACAATGGAACATATGCTTAGGAGAGTGCTGACTTACTGCTTTGTAGATTATTAGTGCTCTTTTTTTAAAAAGCAGCAACTCAAAAATTGGACATTATGGTAGTTCTTTATTATGATCATGTCAGGATGAAACTGTGCTGTGTAAATGGTAATTGTTTTGTTTATAGTATCCAAATGAAAAACAGTTCATGTAACAGAATATGATATGTCAACGTATCGTTTGTGGTTTTGTGTTTGTGTCTGAAGTCCTCAGTTTGAAAAATATGTTTTGTAGGACAAATGTCTCAAGTACAGAGAGCTTAGAAGTCAAATTGTAAGAGGCAGATATTGATCTGTACAGATGTGCATATGTAAAAGAAAGACTGGGTTAGTGTTTAACAGTCCATATTGACAGTAATGATTGATAACTTGAATGTAACTGGTATGTGTAAGATAGTATGTGTTTTGATCTTTCCCCTTTACTCCTTGATTATCTACACCCTAAAATCCAGAATCTTAATTGTGCCTATTTACTTTTTAGATTTTTTTTTACTATAGCAACTTCAAAAGGGTATATTTATCAAGTTCATCATAGAATGAAAGACATCAAACCTATGCATATTTTGTGAACTGTCCCACTGGTTTTACCGGAAAACCTTAATTCCATGTATCTGCACTTAAGGTTGGATTCAATGTGTCTCCAAAGCACTGAAATGTTTAGACTTTTGCTATCTGGGAACGGCTAAAAGTAGCTTAATGTTTAGTAACATAGTGGTAGTGTCTTTCTAGCAAACTCTGCTACATGTTTTTTGTGTTAGGTTTGGTTTTTATCTGTTTGTCTTGGGAACCTGATTTGGTCAAAACATTCTGCATGCTTGTGGTGGGGTATCCATTTTGTAGAACTTATTTATACTAGAACTGACTCTAAGGCAACTGAAAACCAAAAACTTACGACCTCAGTTCTGAAACCATTAACTGTGGCAGTAGTTTCACTGAGTTCCCTGGAATTACCTGGGAAAAAGTGACTTGTAAATTGTCATTACCCAAGAGAATGTTTATTTTGCTTTTTTCTTCTTGAGTAAAATTAATCAACGTTAATATTTCTAACTCTCAGACTGGAGAATAATGAGAACATTGTAACATTTCTCATATTGAGAAATAGCGCTCATGCAGCTGGACTGAGCTCTCTGATTTCATTGCTGATACCTCCACTGCTGAAGAGGCGGTATACCTGCCACATTGTGGACCATCTCTTTGGCATGAGGAATTGCAGCAACTAGACTGTCCCTCGTTCCATTTTCTCCAGTACACGCATATTCATTTTGAATAGTTTATGCTATGTCACCTGTGGAATACAGGGAAACAGAATTTTAATTATACATGGGAGAGCTATTGGTATACAATTTAAAAAGCTTGTTTGTGAACTCTAAATAGTTATTTTAAAAACGGAGTACATTTCAGTTTATATTCCATTTTATTTCTGAGGCTGAAGGCAAGTGCTATTTTTATCTCATTACATTTACCCATTCAGTGAGGCAACCCATTTTACAGATGTGGAGCTGAGATAGGTTCCTGAGATATGTACCCTGTTCACATGCATATACATCACCTAATGTCACCTAAGAATTACGACTACCATAAGTGAATGATGACACCAATAAGAGGTTTTGTATCACTTGAACCACAGTTCTCTGCACAGGAAGCAACTTTTTCTCTCTTTCTCACATCCCGACATGTCAGGGAACAATTCCCAAGAGGTGTAGGTACATATGAAAGCTAACTGAATGAATTGACACCCAGTAGTTCCATGTTTAGAGAGCCATATGAATTCAATTATCTCAGATTCAAATTTACTGCTCTGCCCACTGAACCATGGTGGCTGCGAAGAATAAGGTAAGTTAATAACCCTGTGAGATAATGACGTTGTTTATCTATCTGTGAGTGATGATTATAGCAAGGGTGGGCAACACATGGCCCGTGGGCCACCTGCAGCCCCCATTGCACCCTATCGTGTTACCGATAAAGAAAATAGGGAATATAGCGATTTGCCACTCAACATCTATAGCAAACTATATGGAAACTCAGAAGACATACGTATAGCTTATTTTCAAGTCAGAGCTGTCTGCTGTATGGCTTTGTTGCTGGAATTTGGTGATAAACTGCTATACTTCCCCTCACTTTCGGAGATGGAGATGGTGGTTATTGGGGGATGAAATAGTCCCCCAGTCCATCCCGCATTGCCCATCCCTGGATTAGCAAGAGGAAGTAATTTAAAGACTGCTGTCTGCAATGTAAATGTATTTTGGCGTTCTACATGTTTTAATATAATAATCCTGGACTTCTAACATCAAACTTGGAAAACAGCATCTCATTAAAACTTCAATATGCAAGCATTTGTGAATTGTCATGATGGATTGTTTTCATCATAGAAAAATCTGTTTTTGGTAAAATACATGATATATTGATTTTAATGTGTGTTTTGCAATATTACTATTAAATATATTTCTATACCGTAGAATAGCTGAAGTCCTTTGGGAGGAAAACAATAGCTGCAATTAATAATTTTACTGCTACAATAATACTGCAACACATTGCAATTTACCTGCAAGCTTAATAAATTAATTGACTATAGTAGCTTTTATAATTAATTGAGGTTTGGTCAACTAAATAACTGATGGGAATAGTGAAAATAAACTTCTTGTATATTTTGAGTTAGGCAAGAAGCATAATCTGTCAACATAATTTGGACAAAAGCACCTTCATGTGTCCTGAGATGATGACATTTGGCTAGTGACCAGGGTCACACATAATCTAAAATATGGTTTAAATTATCGTTTGTCATTGAATTGTGGTCTGTCATTATGTGCAAATTGTGGCTTAACTATAGGTTGTTAATCACAAAGTTTACCTTACAAGATTCCATAGGTTCTCCTTGTGTTGTCTGTAGTTAACTGCTAATAGTTAAAGCATAGTGCAGGATTGGCATGTAACGACAACCAAAAATTAATCTAGGACCCATACTTTGGGTTGTTGTTATGTGTAAACCAGGCCAATTGGTTAAATAAGTCAAAAGCAAAGTAATCCAATATGGAGAAGGGTAACTGGGTTGTTTGTGTGTTTTAAGATAGCTGTAATAGAGAGAAATCCAGTTTTTCCTTGTGTTAAGGAGTTATGACTCTTAAACTGGTGAGTGTATAAAGGGTCTACTAAGAATTATTTTATGTCGTCCCTCAACTAGCAAAGAATCTACCACTGAATGAAAAAGCAATGAGATGCCCATTTCTAGCATCTTTGTGATTGGGGTGAAAGTAAACATTGCTTATCTTGCTTTTTACTTGGCACTAAGACCTATGGATGATAGTTGAAATTAATTCTGTACATGGTTTAATTTTTAATGAATAAAGATTGTGAACATTTAATTCCATGCAACGGAGTGGCTTGTATGCATACTCTGAAAGTACCTATAGATCTCTACAGCAATATTTCCTTTCATATTAAATAACGGTACATCAATAAGAAGGTTTTGCTGTTCAGTCAATAAGTTTTTACATGCACAACTGTGGAAGATGGTTGGCTGCTTAAAGGTTTAGACTGTAATTGTCTGACTTCTAAGAAACTTTTGAATAAAGGTTGGAGGAGACATGGGGGAAGGGCTTTTCAATGATGCCACCTCTGTAGGAGAATGCTCCAACCAGAGTGGCTAGCATAGCACTGAGGCACTTGTATTCTTTGAGGCACTGGGTGACATTTTTTTTGTCCACCTAGACTTCTATGGAGCTTTTTAATGGAGCTTGGGACTTTGACTTTTTAATGTCTTAAGCCATGATTGTGTTTAATCTTATTGGTTCCTCTTTGTTACATATTCTATGGTGTACTTGTATTTATATTGTATTTTTATGTACACCATTCAGAGATCTTGGCATATATAGAAATGCCATAAATTAATAATTATGGTTGCTGTTTTGTATACACCCACCTTGTGAGTAAACCCAATTGGACTAAGCATGGCTTTTTCTTGGGGTGGACATGGACAGAGTTTCATTGTAACTGTTAAATCCACATATTACAAACTCTCAGAAACTCTTCTAGGGATTTCGAAGAAAACCTTGCTTTACCCAAGCTTCTCTTACTTTAAAAAAAGATTTACATTTTGTAACACATATAACTAAAAATAGTTCAAGGCCCATAAATATGGTAGAGTCTGTAAATTTAAAAACATGTATATTTATATTACAGTTAGACATTTCCCACTGTAGTTTACTTAGATCTTAGTCTGATTGGGTTGGATTATAAGGGACTCTATTCAATTGATCCAGGAAATGGTGCAGGAAGCAATTTTCTCTGATTTCCCTTTCCTCTGTAGCCCCTCTCCCACCACCTCCCATGCTGTTCCAGAGGTTCCCTGTATCTTTCCAGAGCAGATTTCCATGGGAATGGGGTGGAGGGCAAGTGGAAATCTGCAAAATTCATAGCTCTCCTCCTTATTAGTGGAAGCAGAAGTGCTGCTTCTGTGAACAGAGCTCCACTGACAAAATCTTAGTATCCTGTGTAGCTCTGTTGGTCTTACACTGTGGTATGTATAGTTAACTTGTGACTGCAGCCTTG